TCGAGCCGTTCCAGCCGAGCTGTTGCTATTTTTTAGTATTTTTTATTTATATGTTTGTTTTTTTTCATAGTATTTTTTCATCATTAATTTTGGAAAAAAATAAAAAAGAGAAAAACATAAAATATTTTTTGAGAACAAGTATTAATTATCAAGTGATAGAATTTATAGAAATTTCAAATGGTAAATTTTTATAAAATTCTTAAGTGAGAAACTCTATCTAAATTTGTCTCAAACTGTGGAATAATTTAGATAAAGTTTCAATAATAATAATTAATATTTATTTTCAAACAAAAAAAAAAGAGAGAAAACCAAAAAAAATAAAAAATAAAGATTTTTGGAAAAGAACTAATTACCCAAAGATGAGATTCTTAAAAATTTCAAATGGTAAATTTTTAAAAAATTTTCAAGTGAGAAATTTCTCTAAATTTATCTCAAATATTAAAATAATTTAGATAAAATTTCAAAAAAAATAATTGTATTCTGTTTCAAATTTGGTTGCAAATGTTTGACAATTATCTAAGGATGAGATTTTTAAAAATTTCAAATGATAAATTTTCTAAGAAATCTCTAGGTGAGAAATTTCTTTAAATTTGTCTCAAATGGTGAAAACATTTAAATGAAATTTTAAGAAAAATAATTGTCATGTTATTTTCTTTTCAAAAAAAATAAAAAAATTTAAATAGACCCAAATGATGAAAAATTTTGAAATTTTGAAATAGAAAATATTTCTAATTTTGCCCAAATTGTGAAATAATTAGATATCTTTTCGACAAAAACCAAAAAAATAAAAAATAATTATACATTTTCTGACAACGGAGCTTCTTCAAGAAATCAAATGAGATTCTTGAATACTTTTAAGGTGAGAAAATATTTTTAAGAGTTCTACTAGTTTGATGGAAAATCTTAAAAATTATTTTCAATATCTGAGCATTAAATTTTAAAACCATCATAATCAAAATCTTAAGATAAATTTAAAATAAAATGGTACCATCCTTTGAATGGGTATATAGAAGTGCTATAATCTTTCCTACATGTAATCAAATTCTCAAACCCTGTTCTAGTTTATAGACTTGAATATATTCTTTTAAGGATCTTTAATCAAGCTTAGGAGTCCTTAAAAAGATAAATTCCTTAAGTGATCAATCACACCAGTTAAAAAAGATTGATAATAACTCTATTTGTTAAGTCTAATTATAGATTTACAGATTTTTATATTAGGATAAAAACTATTTTAGTAATATTTTAATAATATTTTAATTGATTTGATATTGATTTAAAGAATATTATATATTAATTTTAATAAAAATTATATGTTTAATAAAAGATCATGATTAAGCTTACAACTTAGATCATTGGAAAAGAAATATCGTGGGGAGGACGAATCCCCAACTATAGAAAAAAGTCGACACAACTGGAGAGCAAAAGACGCATTCTCTTATGGGCCCATTTGAAAAGAAAAAAGGAAAAAATAAATTTAGAATTATGAAACAATAAATGTTGTGAATGTGAAATATAATCACTAATTAAACAATCATACTCTTTTCGTCTTTTTCTTTCTTTTTTAATGTCTCAAATATATATTTTTAAAACCTAAAACTTTTTATATATTTTAAAGCTATTTTCATAATTTTTTAATTTCTAATGTTAAAAATTATGAAATTTCAATTTTGTAAAAAATTAAAATTTTAATATTAAATACATCAAAATTAAACTCTTTTTTCTTAAACTTTATAAAGTCAAAAAAGACCCAAACAATTTAAAAAGGAGTAAATTTTTTCATATTTAAAATTATCAAATTATATTTAATTATTATTATTTAGAATATAATATTACTCATCATATATTATATAAAAAGTTATAATGACAAATTAGCACAACAGAGATTAAAAAACAAATTTTTTATTCGAAGTTATCTGAAATTAAAATTTTAAGACTCTGACAACATTACATGTACCGTCGGCTAAATAAGTAGCAATATAAAGTGGTTCTTACAGTCAGATATCCAATACCCAACATGAACGAAACATAAACTAATAAAACTAAAAGACAATATAAAGTGGTTCTTACAGACAGGTATCCGATACCCAACACGAACGAAACATAAACTAATAAAACTAAAAGACATCCATCATGCATAATCATGCTCTGGAGATTTGCATGATAGTTTAAATGTTAAACCTGACTTATCCAACTTATGTTGAATAAGCTTTTTCAAACGTTCTACCACTGCAGGTGTGACATAATTGATCCAATCTCCCGGTTTTGCTTTCCTGTACAAGGTCTTGTGTCGAATCCCTGAAAGGTGTGTGCCATTCTTGTTCACATCCAATTCTTTCAAGTTCCGAAAGCTACAAATTTTTGCTATTTCTTCAATTACTCCATGTTTCTCTTCCTCCTCTGAGAAAGGAAACCCCAAGAACATGGCCAACTTTTTTAGATGAGAAATGATGTTGTCGTGAAGATCTTCGTATTGTAAAAATAATATTTTGTGAGGTTTTTCTTGGCTTGCCTTCCAATACCCTAATACATGATCAAAAAATGGTCCAAACGCATGCATTTGTTGGCATAACATGTCAAAAGCTTCATCTAGTGATGATGGCTCTACGTTTTCGGGTCGAAACTGGTCAGTGAAAAACCAAAGCGAGACGAATGTATCCATCGGATTTCTACATATGTAGACAATTTTAGAGTTGGAATCTTTAATGGAAGGTGGCAAAGAAGCATAGGGAATGTGGTGGAGAGAAGTCTTGGTTGATAAACACAACTATTTTCAAGACCAGGACAAGGGTTGTTCAAGTAAAGATCATACTCAAAGGAACGAACAAGTTGGTGAGGGCCTAAGCTGAGCAAGGGGCTTTGCTCCATTGCAAATTGGTTGTGATTCACAATTGAGAAGGTCAAAGCCTTGAGCCAAGTAGTGCCGAATTTTGGCAAACTTGTGACAAAAATATCAGTATCAAGTGCTTGGAAATGTCTGTGGAAAGAAATCACAGCTTTAAATACAGGAGATGGGCACCAAAATCCTTGACAGAAATAAAGATCACGTCCGTACCAGCTTTTTTTCTTTAGGAAGGGTTTGCATCAATTCTTGGAATTCATCCTCCCAATTCACCTCATGATCTTCATCTTGGGGTGTGGAAACAATATTAATATCTTTGGCGATTTCTGTTGCATCCATAATGAAACCTGCAGTATTAATTTTGAGATAATAAGGGATAAAAAATTAGAAATGGACAGTCCAAACTAGTTCTTTAAGAAATTTATAGAAGTTAGTTTTCTAGTATTATTCTATTTCAATTTGATTTTTGTTCCCTCATCTTTGTTTTTTTAATTTGTCATATTTCAATATTGCAGCCTATGTAATAAAGACATGTAGGGTATCCCAGAAGCATCAAATGTATATGAAAGAATATTTTTTTTCTATGTCAATAGCTTCCCAAATCATATATAACATATAAGACCCATCATCGAGTGGGTGAAATGTCAACATAGTTGCTTCATCCAATGTACTGTAAAAGTGGTCCAAATGTGATATAATTGCCTGCTCTGCCTTGTAATTCCTACCTTCTTCAAGCCTCAAAGATATAATTAAAACATTTTTGCTGAGAATTCACGCATGTGAACATCATTCAATGTTGGATGTTGTCATGTGTCAATGTCCTAGAGTTGTTGGGTTCCTTGGCATTTAGATTATTGTCAAGGGAAAAAAGTTAAATCCACAATCAAAATAGGTGTCTGCAAAATTTTGGGTATGAAAAGTTTTTTTTGATAAAAGAAGAGCAGCCCTGTTTCCGTCTCTGTTGACATGCATGCTGTCCCATGACGTGAACCTCTTTAGTCTACATTCTCCCTCCTCCATAAGGGTATCAAGGTAGGACAGGTTCCGGTTACCCTTCCTCTTTACTATGCTAATAATCTCCCTTGCGTCACCCTCCACTTCAATCTGATTACACCCCATTTCTGCTGCCAGCTTTACTGCTTCCACCATAGCCAGTGCTTCGATTATCCCAGGGCCACGGATGCCTGGAAACTGTTTGCACATAGCTCCACGGACGCCACCTTCTGATCCACGGGACACAACTCCTATTCCTCCCAGTCCTTTCTGTACGTCCAGGGCCCCATCAAAATTAAACGTTCATACATATGAAAAATACAAAATTAATCATCTCAAAACTAAACTCAGAACAAAAAAAAAAAGAAAAGAAAGCCTTGAAAGTTTAATTAAAAAAAGAAAAAACCTTTTCAGTTAATAAAAATTTTTAGATTTAAATAATTAAAATTTTTAATAATATAACTAAGCAACGTAATTAAAAAAAAAAAAAACTTATTTTGACGTGGAATAACGATTTCTTACAATTTTTTTCCAAATTTTTGAATGTTTAGAAACTTTATTAGAGAAACAAAATATAGCTCTAATTGTTCATGTGAGTGTGAATGAAATAGATTTGATTTTCTTATCGATAATATTTAATACACATATGATAATTTATTTTTTAGAAGCCAATAAAAAATTGTATTTGTGTGCGAAAATTAAAAATATTTTTTTATAAATTAAAATTTAATTATAATTTTTCATGAAAAAATATATGATTTTATTTTTTGGCCAGATATGATTTTATTATTAAATAACTAGTTTTTATTTTTTTTAATTTTAAAACATATTAGAATTTTAAAATAATTTTAAATATTTTAATAACAATTAAAATTAAATAAATTTAGATAAATAAATGAATTAATGAATTAAGCATCAGGTATTAATCGAATCTAATTTGATCTAATTAGATTCACAAACACCTCTTTATGTAAACTAATAAAACTATATATAAGACAACTGTAAAATTTGCTACACAAAGCAATTTATTTTGCTGGTAACATATATAAGACAATTCTAATACAAACTTCAACAGAGACAACAAAAACGTAAATGGGTGGAATAAAAGAGTTTTTTTTTTTTAACTCACAAAGAGAGTCAACGGTGACTCTTTACTTGCATGTACCAAGTATCGGACATAGATCAATTGAAAAGATATACTTAGTAAAACCCAGAAATTTCTTGCTGCTTAACAAGAAAGATCAACATTAACTAAGCTGAAAGACGCCCATCATGCACAAACATCCTTTGGAGATTGGGAAGATAGTTTAAATGTTAAACCTGACTTGCCGAAATTCTCTTGAATAAGCTTCTCAAAACGTTCTACCATTGCAGGTGTGAGATAATTGCTCCAATCTCCCACTTCTTCTTTCCTGAACAAGGTGTTGTGTGGACCCGGAAAGTGTGTACGCCATTCTTGTTCACTGCCAATTCTTTCAAGTTCGCAAAGAATCCAACTTAAATCAATTCGAAAAAGATTTACAAAGTAAAACCCAGAAATTTCTTGTTGCTTAATAAAAAAGATCAACATTAACTAAGCTGAAAGACGCCCATCATGCACAAGCATCCTTTGGAGATTGGGAAGATAATTTAAATGTTAAACCTGACTTGTCGAAATTCTCCTGAATAAGCTTCTCCAAACGTTCTACCATTGCAGGTGTGAAATAATTGCTCCAATCTCCCACTTCTGCTTTCCTGAACAAGGTGTTGTGTGGAAACCCGAAAGTGTGTACGCCATTCTTGTTCACAGCCAATTCTTTCAAGTTCGCAAAGCTACAAGTTTCTGCAATTTCTTCAACCACTCCATGTTTCTCTTCCTCCTCTGAGAAAGGAAACCCCAAGAACATGGCCAACTTTTTAAGCTGGGAAATGATGTCTTCTTTCAGATTTTCATACTGTAAAAACAATATTTTGTTGGGATTCTCTTGGCTTGCTTTCCAATACCCTAATACATGATCAAAAAATGGTCCACAACCAAATGTTCCATGGCAGAACAACTCGAAAGCTTCATCTAGTGATAAAGGCTCTGAATTTTCAACTCGAAGCTTATCAGTGAAAAACCAGAGAGAGATGAACATATCCATCGGATTCCTACATATGTAGACGATCTTAGAGTTGGAATCTTTCATGGAAGGTGGCAAAGAAGGATAAGGCACGTGGGTGGAGAAAAGTCTTGGTGGATAAAGAGAGCTATTTTCCAGATCCGGAGAAGGGTTCTCCAAGTAAAGATCATACTCAAAGAATCGAATAAGTTGGTGAGGGCCTGACCTGAACAAGGGATTTTCTTCCCTTGCGAATTGATTGCGGTTCACAACTGAGAAAGTCAAAGCCTTCAGCCAAGTAGTGCCACATTTCGGAAAACTTATGACAATAATATCAGTATCATGTGCTTGGAAATGTTTCTGGAAAGAAATCACTGCTTTCAATGCACCAGATGGACACCAAAAACCTTGGTAGAAGTAAAGATGATCTGCATTAATCCAGTTTCTTTCTTTAGGGAGGGTTTGAACCAATTCTTGTAATTCTTCATCCCATGTCTCCTCCTCATCTTTGGGTGTTGAAACAATATTGTCTTTGGAGATCTCTGTTGTATCCATAAACAAACTAGCCGCTGATCGGCTAGGGATACAGAAAGAAGAAAAACAGTCAAAACCAGTTCTCTAGGAAATTTATCGAAAGTGTAAATGATATTCTAATAATATTTAAATAATATTTTAGATTTATGATATTATTTTAGTAATATTTTAATAATATTTTAGATTGATTTAATATTAATTTAAAAAATATTAGATATTGATTTAATTGATTATAAGAATTGATTTAATAATTATTTTTATTTATGATATTTTTATTTTATAATATTTTACTTTTATCTAAATAAGTTTAAACTTCATTATAATACATAAGTCATCACCATCTGTTGCCCAAATTCTTCGACTCATTCTTGTTACTAATGTAAATCAAGAAATAAATATTTTTATTAAATTACATTCATCTGATCAATTTATTATCTAAATTTTCAAACTCAAGTTAACTTTTATATTATCGTATTGAATTTATAGGAAATGTTAATGATATTATAGTAATATTCAGATAATATTTTAGATTGATAATATTATTATTGTAATATTTAAATAATATTTTATATTGATTTAAAGAATATTAAATATTAATTTAGTTGATTATAAGAATTAATTTAATTATTATATTTTTTATTTTATAATATTTTACTTCTATATAAATAAACTTTAAACCTCATTTTACTACACAAATTATTAAAATAAAATTTCATCATTTTATTCTTTTTTATAAAGTTGATTCGCATTCTTTTCATTTTTACGGATCTTCTTTTTGACTAAAAGGATTTTCCTTACCAAAATAATTATCGGCTTACAGCTGCCGATGAAATGGTATGAATATTATATTAAAAGAAATATAAAAATGATACTTTAAAATTTTAATAAAAATTATATGTTTAATAAAAGATCATGATTAAGCTTACCACTTAGATCATTGGTTAAGAAATATCGTGGGGAGGACGAATCCCCAACTATAGAAAAAGTCCACACAAGTGGAGAGCAAAAGACGCATTCTCTTGTGGGCCCATTTGAAAAGATGGAAGGAAAAAAGAAATTTAGAATTGTGAAACAACAAATGTTGTGAATATGAAATATAATCACTAATTAAACAATCATACTCTTTTCGTCTATTTTTTTAATTTTCTTTTTTAATGTCTCAAGTATATATTTTTAAAACCTAAAACTTTTTATATATTTTAAAGCTATTTTCACAATTTTTTAATTTTTGATATTAAAAATTATAAAATTTTAACTTTATAAAAAATTAAAATTTTAATATTAAGTACATCAAAATTCGAGTCTTTTTTCTTAAACTTTATAAAATCAAAAAGACCCAAACAATTTAAAAAGGAGTAAATTTTTTTATATTTAAAATTATCAAATTATATTTAATTATTATAATTTAGACTCTAATATTACTTATCATATATATAAAAAGTTATAATGACAAATTAGCACAATAGAGATTAAAAAATAATTTTTTTATTCGAAGTTATCTGAAATTAAAATTTTAAGACTCTGCCAACATTACACGCACCGTCGACAAGACAATTATTTTGCTGGCAACCTAAAACAATTCCAGCTAGCACAAACTACCGCCGGCAGCAAAAGGTCAAAAAGTAGCAATATAAAGTGGTTCTTACACACAGATATCCCATACCCAACATGAACGAAACATAAACTAATAAAACTAAAAGACACCCATCATGCATAATCATGCTCTGGAGATTTGCATGATAGTTTAAATGTTAAACCTGACTTATCCAACTTATGTTGAATAAGCTTTTTCAAACGTTCTACACTGCAGGTGTGAGATAATTGATCCAATATCCCGGTTTTGCTTTCCTGAACAAGGTGTTGGGTCGAATCCCTGAAATGTGTATGCCATTCTTGTGCACATCCAATTCTTTCAAGTTCCCAAAGCTGCAAATTTTTGCTATTTCTTCAATTACTCCATGTTTCTTTTCCTCCTCTGAGAAAGGAAACCCCAAGAACATGGCCAACTTTTTTAGATGAGAAATAAAGTTTTCGTGAAGATCTTCGTATTGTAAAAATAGTATTTTGTTGGGTTTTCTTGGCTTGCCTTCCAATACCCTAATACATGATCAAAAAATGGTCCAAACGCATGGATTTGTTGGCATAACATGTCAAAAGCTTCATCTGTGATGATGGCTTTACGTTTTCGGGTCGAAACTGGTCAGTGAAAAACCAAAGCGAGATGAATGTATCCATTGGATTTCTACATATGTAGACAATTTTGGAGTTGGAATCTTTAATGGAAGGAGGCAAAGTAGCATAGGGAATGTGGGTGGAGAAGTCTTGGTTGATAAACACAACTATTTTCAAGATCAGACAAGCGTTGTTCAAGTAAAGATCATACTCAAAGGAACGAACAAGTTGGTGAGGGCCTAAACTAAGCAAGGGGCTTTGCTCCATTGCAAATTGGTTGCGATTCACGATTGAGAAAGTCAAAGCCTTGAGCCAAGTAGTGCCGCATTTCGGCAAACTTGTGACAAATATATCACTATCAAGAGCTTGGAAATGTTTCTGGAAAGAAATCACAGCTTTAAATACAGGAGATGGGCACCAAAATCCTTGATAGAAATAAGGATCACGTCTGTACCAGCTTTTTTCTTTAGGAAGGGTTTGCATCAATTCTTGGAATTCATCCTCCCAATTCATCTCATGATCTTCATCTTGGGGTGTGGGGACAATATTAATGTCTTCGGCGATTTCTGTTGCATCCATAATGAAACCTGCAGTATTAATTTTGTGAGTATAAGGAATAGAAAATTAGAAATGGACACTCTAAACTAGTTCTTTAAGAAATTTATAGAAGTTGGTTTCCTAGTATTATTCTATTTCAATTTGATTTTTTTCCCTCATCTTTGTCTTTTTTAGTTGTCATATTTCAATGTTGTAGCCTATGGAACAAAGACATGTAGGGTGTCCCAGAAGCACCAAATGTATATGTAAGAATTTTATTTTTTTCTAGGTTAATAGCTTCCCAAATCATATATAACATATAAGACCCATCATCGAGTGGGTGTAATGTCAACATAATTACTGTAAAAGTTGTCCAAATGGGATAAAATTGCCTGCTCTGCCTTGTAACTCCTACGTTCTTCAAGCCTCAAAGATATAATTAAAACATTTTTGCAGAGATTTTATTATTAAATAACTAGTTTTTATTATATTTTAATTTTAAAACATATTATAATTTTAAAATAATTTATATATTTTAATAACAAATTAAAATTAAATAAATTTAAATAAATGAATGAACTGATGAATTGAGCATCAGGAATCTAATTCGATCCCATTAGACTCACAAACACTTCTCTAGACAAATTAATAAAATTATATATAAAACAACAGCAAAATTTGCTACACAAAGCAATTTATTTTGCTGGTAACATATATAAGGCAATTCTAATACAAACTACAAAAGAGACAACAAAAACGTCATTAGGTGGAAATAAAAGAGTTTTTTTTCTTTTTTTACTCACAGAGAGTCAATGGTGAGTCTTTATTTTGCTGGCAACCTAAAACAATCCCAGCTAGCACATAAATAAAGTAGCTCTTACAGAGACAGATATCCAATACCCAACGTAAACGAAACATAAACTAATAAAACTAAAAGACACCCATCATTTACAATCACGCTCTTTGTTAGGCCAAAAGGCTCCAACTCAATTAATTGGACATACAAGCCGTCAAAAGCTCAATTAAAATAATCAATTAATAAATAATTCATGAAATTATTTTTAAAAAATTAAAAAAAAATTAAAATCGAAAATTAAAAGTGTTAGATTGAAAGATTTTCTTACATAGATCAAATGTACAAAATTTTGATAAAATTTTTGCTATTAAATAGGTATTTATCAAAGTTGAATTATAAACGATATTTTTAATACTTTTAATATATTATTAATCTGAATATTATTTTTTATTTAATTTAAATTTTTTATTAAATTACTTATAAAATAATTTACAAAATTCACTTAAAAATTTTTATTTTGTCTCGAATCACTGAGTAAGTTTTTGTGTTAAAAGACACGGAGGTACAAGCTAAAGGACGGATTTAGAATTGATACTCAGTAAAGGAAAATTTATTAAATTACCTACTAATAATATAATTTTATATTTACATCGTAAACCATTAATTTATTTAGTTATCTTTTTTTAATAGATCCATATTTTTTTAATATTTCAAAAAATTAATAACAGATTCAAGAATTTTTCAATTGTGTCCATTTATAATATCTATAAAAATTTATCGATGAATTTACCAAATTTATTGATGAAACAAGTACCAATAGAAAATTTTCAAGGTCTTTAGTGAAAATATTTTTGTAAATTTTCTTATTTTTCAAATTTTAAGGTGTTCATGAGAAAACTTTAGTAATGGCTATTTGAAAATTGTTGGAACTAGTGACTTAAATTTCATATCAGAATTGTTTGAGATTAATTAGATATTACTTGATGAATAAGAAGACTTGTAAGAAAAGAATTCTAAAAGAAAATGGATTCTTGATAAGCAAGTTTATATGCTTATAAATATATGAAGTCTTTAAAAGGTTAGGTATGAAAAAAATATATATATATATAAGAAAGTTGTAAGATTTTATTATATAGATAACTTATAGTATTACTAAAAATTTACGTCTTATGGGTATATATGTTTAAATTTTTGTGAGTGAATTATATTAGACTGAGAGAGTCTACATGGATATTGTGTACATGAGTGTTTGTTTGCTTAGGTTGAGAATATTTAATAAATTAAAAGAGATTGAGGGAGACTAAGGATATTAATTGTTAAATTAGGTTAATTGTGAAGAAGCTACAATCATGGCAACCAGACCTATCACCTATTGGCGATCTTATAGATGAAGCAAGAGATAAGAGAAGAAGATTTCACACTCTTTCATTCATGCACACGAACTGAACAGGCAACGTTGCAGAACATCAATTAGCTAGACATGGGCTAGGGATTGATGAAGACATGTATTGGGTAGAGGAATTTCCT